CTTCTAATATCTAGACAACACTTGAATTCAATCAATTAATTAAATAATGTTATAAATTTATAATTATTTAAGTAATCATTTAACTATGTAATATTATAATTAATTAAGTAATTATTTAACTATAATGTAATGNTACATGGTTCGACCAAACAGCCAATGTGTACGAGTGATAATGTTCGTTTGAGGAAATACAAGCAGACTTAGATTCAGTCCCACATCGCTAGAAATGGCTTTGCATGTGGGTTACTAACCACTTGGACACTCTCTTATTACAAGCAGGTTTTTGGGGTTGTATTTTATTAGAATAATCTCTTATCTCTTCGATGCTTGGGTGGTTCTTATTTGTTTGCCTGGGCAGCAAAGCAAGGTATAACTCAGTTGACTCAGTTTTCTCAGTTTTATGGTTGCACACACGCAAAATACTTATAAATTGAGTTACATATTTCTTTCTGGGCTCGCGTAACAATTTTTCACCAAAATACTTTTATTGAGTTGAGTGGGCCTAGAGGTAGGGGTGTTCAAAAGTGGTTAACCGAACCGATTAACTGCTTTCTTGAACCGAACCAGTTTTTCAGTTTAGGAAAATTCTTGAACCAAAACTGAACCGGTTTGGGAGGAAAGCCTGTATTTATGAACTTTTAAGGGTTTTTTTTTGCCATTTTAAAAACTTTTAAGGGCAATTAAAATTTTACAGGGTACCCAAAATCGGAATCGAAACCATTGTTACAGGTTCAGATTCTGGGTATTTAGGAACTAGAATTGTCAGTTCCGGTTCCAAATTTCAAGGAATCATCGGTTCCGGTTCTTTCAAAAAATGTAAGGTACTCGGAACCAAACACCCCTAATTAAAAGTATTTCGAAGTGATGGAAAATGATTTTAGTCAACGAAGGACAATAATCATAGAAAAGTAAATTTTTTTTTTTTTTTTTCAAATTTTCTTTTGTTTGATCTTTTGTATCTCTGTTTTCTTGTTGAAAAAAGTATCATAAAAAAGCATAGTATTATACAAGGTTTTAAAGGGGAAACAAGCTGAAAATTTTGAGATTTAACTTAAAATATATAAATAAAAAGGGCAATTGAATTTTCTTGAGATGAAAAAAATGGCGTTTGAAATTTAATCCCAGAGAAAAAAGATGTAGGAAATAAATATTAGAGAGAATAATCTTGAAATAAAATATAATATATTTGGAATTCATATTTTTAAAATGTTTTTAATTATTATTGGGGCTTGGATAACATCACTTAATACCCAAACAATCAAAGAAGAAATGAGAAGGATCTATGAAACAAATCAATTAATGTTATTGTCATTGTCACACAAATATGGATTAATTTGTTTACCAAATCATAGAGTTAAGCCTCTTAAAATTAAGTAATCAAATCTAAATCTTATCTTAAATTAAGAAAAAACAAGTTTCACATATATTAAAATAAAACACTTGGTATTATAAATTCGTTATCTTACAAATTTAGAATGATTTGTTTACGGTAACACAATTTCAAAGTTCTTACAATTAAGTAATCATTTTGAAATCGCACCTTAATAGTAAAAAAAACATGGTTTAATACCCATTTAAACAAAACACCATGTATCTCCATTGAATTTTTTTTTTTTTTTTTTT